ATAAATTATGCATCTGATCGGAGACTATTGTATCTATGGATGGAGTAATTATCCAGTTCAACCAATGCTTCATTTTATGTAGTTTTGCTAGTTAAGAGTTTGGTGTGATATATTAATATTTATATAATTTGTGTGATTTATATCTAAAGGAACTGGAATGAGCCAAAATTTTCTTGCTCTGGCTAAATTAGGGTGTGCAAGTGAGAGATGTTTGCAATTATATTTCATGTCTTGTGAAATGCTTTGTAATTTAAAATATCGTGTTATGGTTAAGCAGATAGATAAATGGTGATTATGGTTAAGCAGATAGATAAATGTTGCTTGCAATAAGCTTCCGGTTAGATGAGGTTGGACAAGTTGTTTTTGTGTATGTAAAAATATGTTGCATGCCTAGCAGCCTAACCCTTTAATAATCTTCAGAATTCATCCTGGATATGTTACACACTTGTTGGCAGAGCTCAATTAAGTTTTACAATGTTGAATAGTCAACTATGCACAACCATAGATGCATTTTTATTTTTATATTTTTATATTATTTGTTTTTTGGGGAGGGTTTAGGAAATTTTGTTAGAGAAAGAAAAGTGGTGATGGTTGGAGAGATGGTGACTCACAAGGGAGGCTGTGATGGAGGGGATGCACTGGAATAGTAGAGAAAGAAATGGAGGCGGTAGGAAAGGGGTGGAGGAAGTGGGTGAGGGCGGTGAAAGTGTGGTGATGTGGGGGTGGCAATGCAAATTCTAAATACACACAAAATCTTTATATGCTCATAATATGGATCGTAAATTTATAATTTTTATGTTTGTTGCAGCGGGACAAAGGTGAAAGTGAAGTTGGTGGTATGGTGATGGCGACGGAGATGGTGATTGTGGCTGTGGTGGTGGTGGTGTGATTGTGGAGGTGTTAGTGGTGGAAAAATGTGATTATAATAGTAAAATTTTAATTCGAAAAATATTTTTATTCTATTGATCATAAAAAATATTTTTCATCGATTTTTATTTTACATTGTACTAAATATTAAAAAATGTAAAATATGTTTTTTGTCCATAGAAATGATTTTTAACCCTTAATCAGTCCAATCCATTCTCTTCAACTACAACCTCTTATGATTGAAATGATTGTAATGCATTTTAACATGTCTAAGGAGTCAAAAAGCACCAATCTAATGATTGAAAATAAATGTAGTGCTTAAAACAATTTCAGCAATATCATATAAAACAAGGTGTTGAGTTAATATAACGAAGAGGTTTAGCAATATAATATGAGTAATGCTATATGTATTAATTAGTATATTAAGTCCTTATTGAAATTTTTTCTCTTTTTAGTTAGAAAAAAAAATACATTTTAAACTTTTGAATAAGTTTTATTTGTTGATACTTTTTAAGAACAAATTTTAATTTTAATTTATATGTACTTTTATATTTTTATGTGCAACTATTATATGAAGTTTCATAATTTCTTATTTATTAATATTGTAACCAATTATTCATACATATTTACACAAAACTAATTTTAAAACACAATCTTTGATAAAATTAAGAGTCTTGCTAATGACGGTTCATTATACGTTCGTTAAAAATCAAATAATATATAAAAAAAAATTAGAAATTCATACATTAAACGTATTTTTATACATTTGTCTATATACAAATCTCAACATTTTTTATAAATTAAAATTTAAAATAAAGCCCGTGCATACATGAGTCGAAAACTAGTGGGTGTTTGGGAAGTTGCTATTTTAGTAGGCTATTTTAGTTTTTTGAGTATTTTAGCAAGCTAAAATTTTTTTGTTTGGGAAGATAGTTGGATTTTTTTAAATATAATTTTGGTTAAGAAAAAAATAATAATTATCATTTTTATATAATTTTTATCTTTCGAGTGATTATAAATAATTTTTTACAAATTAAATTGAAACAACTATACGTGTGTATATAACTTGCCCAAAAGTTAAAATGATAATTTTTTTTACCCTTAAATGATAATTATTTTTTATTTTTTATTTCTTAACCAAATTAATTTTTAATTTAAAAAAAAAAATTCTAAAAATCAAACCATACATAACCTAAGAATCTTTTGATAGATCATTTCTTACGTTAGTAACTTATTTAATTATTTGTTAATTTTGCGACATTGTTACCATCAAAGGCCTGTTTGGTAACCATTTCGTTTTCAGTTTTCAATTTATATTTACTAAAATTTTAAAAACTGTCATAAAAATTTGTTTGATAATTTTTTTGATTTATAAATTGTTGTCTCAGTTTGTAAATTTGAGGAAAAAACGTAAATTCAAAAAATAAGTTTACATTACTTTTTAAACAAAAATTTAAAAATTTTACTAACAATTTTTTTTCAAATAATTTTTTTTCCCAATTAATTTTTTTTTTCAATGAATTTTTTTTCCAACTAATACTAACCGATGGGGCAATTGGTAATGCTACCTTAAACCTTAATGAGAGGATTGTAATTTCTAAAATGTGAGGGGCGTCAATGTAATTTACCCAGTGAGGGCAAAATTGGTATTTAAACAAATTAAATAGCTGAGGGAAGAATCTGTAATAAACCTTTAAACCTCAGGGAGGGAGATGTAATTTCCAAAAGATGAGGGGGGAACTGTAATAAACATAAGCCTCATGAGGTATCAGTGTAATTTACCTCAAATAAATATATACCTTGATTACCATTGCTACAAGCAAATGCCCCTTATAATGCCCTTTCAAGAATGCATTATTAACAAACAATAACGGACGACAAAATTAAAATCCATACAAATATCCATGAAATGCCATAAACAACCTCCGAAAACACCCACTACTTTCATCACATTTAATTCAAACATACTTCCGGGATTCGTTCTTATACTCGTCTCAAGGTACCATTGAAGTTGGTCAAAAGAAGATGCAAAATCACCAAACAGCCCACCTCTTGCCTTATTAACTCCTAACCATGCAATTCGATCAGAAAACATCTATACCATATTGTTTTTTCAACTTTTTTTAAATTTTGATAGGATGAGTCAACGGATTATTACTAATATTATTATGCACAATATCAGAGACAAGTCTAGAACCAACCATTTTGCTACAAGATCTACAAGCAACAACCCCACAAGTATGCACATTATCCAACTTCATAATAAAAAAAATATCAGAATTCATCAACACCCTTCCATGCACAAACCATTTATAACTCGTAGTCGACTTCATCATACATTCAACAATTAGGCCAAGTTTGGCTACAAAGAAAAAAGTGCACTTATTTCATCTTTTTAGGATCGCATCAATCAATATCTTCTCTCTACTTTTTCTACATATAATACAAAAAAAGTCAAAAAGTGTACTTATTTAGTCTTCCCAAACTAGGCCTTACTCTTGTTGCATTATTTTTCAAATAATTCACTGCAAAACCACACTCAACTGCATAATTAGCCAACGCAATACGGAACGTCGGTACTCTACCGTCAAATTCTTGACCAACATTGTGTATAATCCCCTTTCAACTAGTAGACAACAAACCACCAAAATCATTACAATCGTTAACCAAAGACTCACACAAATTACAAAATCAATCCTAGAAGAATTATCATCAACCTTCACAATTCTCCTATCACCCATAATAACATCAACAACATGAGAACCACTAGAAGCTACCATTGACATCATATTTCCCAAATCATCATTACATTCAACAATACAATTCGAATATCCAGAAATAGAGAAAAACAAACAAAAGTTACCAACACTCAACTTCTTGAACTTCGCACATATTTTCTCAATAACTTCATGATAACTACATCCATCACAAATCTTAATAGGAGCACAAGACTTACTGTATTTACACATTAACATGAAACACCCTTCCATATTACAAATCACAAACCAGTAAACAATTGATCATAGAATCCAAACTAGAAAATTATATAGTTATAATATATCAGTATCAAAACTTCAGAATTCACAATTCCAATTTACAAATTCAAAATACATTACACTATACAACAAACAAAATAAAAAAAAATTAAAATCATTACATTATATCACATACAAAAATCATAAAATCAATATCAAACAAACAAAATTTATTACAAAACAAAGAACTATAACAACATTGACGAACACGAACCAGAGATTATGCAAATTTGCTTATCTATATATATACATACATATATGTATCGAGAGATAGAGAGAGATAGAGAGAGAGAGAGAGAGAGAGAGAGAGACACACACACACACACATACACACACACAGTGCGTACGTAGAGATCGCTTGTACATAACAATTCAGATCGACCTCACAACATAAAGAGATTGACCTCACAGAGAGAGATCGAGATCGCAGACAACCTCACATAGGCGAGATCCACAATCTAAAATTTGATTTTTCACACACACACACACACATATATATATATATATATTAAATCAAAGAGTAATACAGTCATTTAAAAAATAAGAAATAAAAAAGAGACCTCTGGGTATAAAACTTTAAAAATTGTAGATCTATTGGTCTATCAAAAATATATTGGGATTAGAAAGACATAGGACTACATAGTAAGGCCTGGTTTGACATATACTAAAAAATATAAAAAGTCAAAAAGTTACTAAAAAAATAAAAAATTATTACTATTTACAAATATATATATATATATATATAAAACTCTGCTTTACACAGGCCAAGTACAAGCCACTGTCAGTATTGAAGTGATGGTCAAGTAGGTGTACAAAAAAATTTGCACAAGATGGTGCTGTTCGGCTCATGGGGCCTATCACGGGTTTCGTTTTGATAATCTAAACCGTCAATATGTATTGGAGGGTAATTAGGTAATTTACATTATCTATTAATTCTATTAATTTAAGAGACAATTATTGACAGGGGATATTTGAAATTTGTCAAATTATGAGAAAATTTGTACTTTTGATAGACCTCAGTGGTATATTTGTAATTTGACCCAAAAAAATTTGTTATATACATGGTTGAATTGTGTTGGATCTTGCTTTTTAATGCAGAATATAAGAAATCTCTCCAGAAAAAGGCAACTGCTGCAGGTTTTGACCGTCCTATAGATTACTTGTGGCATGAAAGGGAAAAGGACCCTCAATACTGCAAAATATCTTATGAGATGTACAAGAAGGTAAATTGTGTTTATTTTAGGAGCTTGTAGATATTTGTACATGTGATATAAATAACCGTTTCTTGCTTTTTCTACTTGAGAATGAATAACATGGACTAATTATTTAAATTATCAATTGTGTTTTTACTAAACAAGTTGTTTAGTGTTACATAATCATGAGGTTGTCCAGAGTTATAACATTTGTTTTTCCTTTTCTTCAATCATGCAGTGCCTTAGCGAGAAAGAAACGATGTGTGAATTCATGCGCAACAATTGTCCCCAATTTAAATAGGCTACTAAATGTTGCGATGTTGTTCGCAACTACTTCATGAATGTCTGAACCACACTGAAATCTATAAATTATGCATCTGATTGGAGACTATTGTATCTATGGATGGAGTAATTATCCAGTTCAACCAATGCTTCATTTTAAGTAGTTTTGCTAGTTAGAGTTTGGTGTGATATATTAATATTTATATAATTTGTGTGATTTATATCTAAAGGAACCGGAATGAGCCAAAATTTTCTTGCTCTGGCTAAATTAGGGTGTGCAAGTGAGAGATGTTTGCAATTATATTTCATGTCTTGTGAAATGCTTTGTAATTTAAAATATCGTGTTATGGTTAAGCAGATAGATAAATGGTGATTATGGTTAAGCAGATAGATAAATGTTGCTTGCAATAAGCTTCCGGTTAGACGAGATTGGCCAGGTTGTTTTTTGTGTATGTAAAAATATGTTGCATGCCTAACAGGCTAACCCTTTAATAATCTTCAGAATTCATCCTGGATATGTTACACACTTGTTGGCAGAGCTCAATTAAGTTTTACAATGTTGAATAGTCAACTATGCACAACCATAGATGCATTTGTATTTTTATATTTTTATATTATTTGTTTTTTGGGGATGGTTTAGGAAATTTTGTTAGAGAAAGAAAAGTGGTGATGGTTGGAGAGATGGTGACTCACAAGGGAGGCTGTGATGGAGGGGATGCACTGGAATAGGAGAGAAAGAAATGGAGGCGGTGGGAAAGGGGTGGAGGAAGTGGGTGAGGGCGGTGAAAGTGTGGTGATGTGGGGGTGGCAATGCAAATTCTGAACACACTCAAAATCTTTATATGCTCATAATATGGATCGTAAATTTATAATTTTTATGTTTGTTGCGGTGGGACAAAGGTGAAAGTGAAGTTGGTGGTGTGGTGATGGCGATGGAGATGGTGATTGTAGCTGTGGTGGTGGTGGTGTGATTGTGGAGGTGTTAGTGGTGGAAAAACGTGATTATAATAGTAAAATTTTTATTCAAAAAATATTTTTTATTTTATTGATTATAAAAAAATATTTTTCATCGATTTTTATTTTACATTGTACTAAATATTAAAAAATGTAAAATATATTTTTTGTCCATAGAAATGATTTTTAAGCCTTAATCAGTCCAATTCATTCTCTGCAACCACAACCGCTTATGATTGAAATGATTATAATGCATTTTAACATGTCTAAGGAGTCAAAAGCACCAATCTAATGATTGAAAATAAATGTAGTGTTTAAAACTATTTCAGCATAAAAAAATGTGTTGAGTTAATATTACGAAGAGGGTTAACAATATAATATGAGTAATGCTATATATAACAATTAGTACACTAATTAGTGTATCAAGTTCTTATTGGAATTTTTTCTCTTTTTAGTTAGAAAAAATATATATATATATATGTATTTTGAACTTTTATATAAGTTTTATTTGTTGATACTTTTTGAGAACAAAATTTTAATTTTAATTTTAATTTATATGTACTTTTATATTTTTATGTGCAACTATTATATGAAGTTTCATAATTTCTTATTGTTAAAACCTATCACCTACTTCACCCACTTAAACCTACTCCACTAAACCTAACCCACTACACCTCACCTACTCCACTAAACCTAACCCATTACACCACTACCACCTCCACTTCACCTACTCCACCTACCACCTACTACCACCTACTCTTCTATATATAGGAATCATTGTAACAATCAATACATCAATTAATAATACAATCATTTCTCTTTATACATTAAATTTTTACATGGTATCAGAGCAGGTTTAGAACCTAGTATTTTCGCTTCCCCAGCGGGCGGCAACCTCACCTTAGCCACCCGCCGGACCTCAACCTAATCCGCTAGAATTTTCTACACATACCTTGAAATTTCTTCGAGTTCACCACCTTCACGCCCAACTCCTTCGAGTTGCTATCCTTGACTCACCCAGTCAACCCATCACCACCATTTTCCTACTAGCAAACTTGCAGAAGAGAAAGCAAAGGAACTGGTGTGTTCATCCCACAGTCGTCGCATCCGAGAAGAAAGAACAGGCAACCAATTTTATTTATTTATTTTTTTTAAGCCCAAAAAGTGCAAATAAAAAACTTTGCCAATGAAACTAGCCTTTTTGCTAGAAACTTTCAAATGTTGCTACGTGTCCATGTAACAATCTGTCATGTGTCTTCTCCAAGTTATGTGTCCTTTTATTTTATTTATTTATTTTTTTGGCAGTATCTCATTCTCTTTCCGTGGTTGATTTGCAGCTTTTCATCTTCACATGAATTAAGCTATTGCACTCTTCATTTTCATATTAATTAAACTATTACATCTTTATTAACTATGCATCTATTCATCTGGCTCTTTGTCGAGAATTCTTATCTGTAATTTTCTTATTTGATTGTTTACAAGTCTTGATTTCCAAATTGTCATATTAATAGTTGCTTTTTAAATTGTATAAATTTTTAAAAAGAAGTCTGCTGTCTTATTACAAAGTGTCACAGGATTTTTTTTTGACACACAATTTACTGCCTGACACTAACTTTTTCCTTTTCCTTTCCAAATCTCTTCTCAAATCCTCCAACCAAATACAGCGTAAGTTGTAGTATTAAAGTCTCATATAACAATACTACCAGTATGATTGTCAAGGGTCCAAGTTGGATAGGTAATGTCATGAATTTGTTTTGATTAAATTTTATGTGACATGGTTCCAAATATTATTTTAGGCCAAATTTCACCCATGGTACCATCCGTCCTCCCCCGCCACCCCAATCACCAAACCCATCCCACAAGCATTTATTTCTCTCCAAAATCTTTGCCTCTCACTCTAAAAATATATCTTCAGTTCACCCACAAAGAGAATTCATTGACTGATTACATGTCGAAGGCCCAAAATTATCAACATGAATATACTGTTATGTGCGGCTGTAGCAGAGCTGGTGTTCTTGTTCTTCTGTTTACCTATTTTTGCTAGGAAGGAAAGACAAAGAAAAACAGAGTTGCTGGAAAAGAGTTAGGAACAGGGAAATCAAAAAGAAAATGGGTATCACACAAGTGTGGAATAAAATTCTGGATGATTATTTCCAACTGGGATCAGTACAATAAATAGGAATAAAGTGAACTAATCTGCTAAAGGTCAACATCCAATATCACACTAAAATAGGAACAAACCCACTATCTCACTAAACTTGGAACAACCCAACAAAATAGGAATAACCTAACAGAAAATCTGATAAACATGAATATGAAATTTAAATTCTCCTAATGTCAAGTAAAGACTTATTCAACTAATTTATTGCAACTAAAGTCTTGCTCGCAAACAGAACTCAGCTAAATTTTCCCATGTGGCGTCGGAAGGTGACAATCCTTGCCAATGACCCAAAACTTCTTCTCTGTTTTTCTTCTTTCGCTGATTGAGGATGGCTTTCTGCAAAGGGACAATTGTATTACTCTCTTCAGGAATGATGGGAAGAGAATCCAAAGTTTCTACATTCATCCTCACCTTCTTTTTCAGCAAAGAGACATGGGACACCAGATGAAGCCTTGAGTTTTCTGGTAGTTTGAGCTTGTATGCCACTGGTTTAATTTTATCAAGAATTTCAAAGGGTCCATAATATTTGGGCGATAGCTTGAGATTTCTTCGAAGGGCTAAGGACACTTGCCTATATGGTTGCAACTCGAGATATACAAAATCTCCAACATTGAAACTTCTGTCAGTTCTGTGAGCATCATAGAACTCCTTCATTCGCTGTTGAGCCTCATTCAATCGGTCTAGTAACTCCTTGATAACTGGCTCTTTATCTCGCAACTCTTGATTCACAGCCTCTACTTGTGAAGTGCCTGGAACATATGATAGAAGTGTGGGTGGAGGTTTGCCAAACACGATCTTATAAGGGGTTCGCTTGGTAGGAGAATGTGTGCTGGTGTTGTAACAGTACTCAGCCCAAGGAATCCAACGAACCCACTCTTTCGGCCTATGACTTGTGAAACAACGAAGATACATCTTGATTGTTCGATTGACCACTTCGGTTTGCCTGTCAGTTTGCGGAACTAAAGTTGAAGTTGGTTCCCTGCAAGTTAAAAAGCTCTCTCCAAAAATGCTAGTGAAAGTGGCATCTCTATCACATACGATGCTTTTAGGCATGCCATACAATTTAAAGATTTGTTGAAAAAAAACCTGAGCTATTGAGGCAGTAGAGTATGGATGAGAGAGAGGAATAAGTGTGCAAATTTGGAGAGCCGATCAACTACTACAAAAATAACACACTTCCCCTTTGAGTTAGGCAGACCTTCCACAAAGTCCATTGATATATTTGTCCACACTTGCGTAGGAATTGGAAGTGGTTGTAAGAATCCAACAGGCTTGAGATTCTCTCCTTTGTGCCTATGGCAAGTTTCACAACTTGTGATATACTCTCATGGAAAATTTCTCATGCCTTGCCAATAAAAAACTGACCTTATTCTTTGCAAAGTATTGTGATACCCTTCATGAGTACTAGAATGCATCTCCTTAACAATAAGAGGAATCAAAGTAGAATCAACTGCTAAATAAATCTTATTCTTGAAGTAAAGGATACCTTCTTTGTAGTCCCATGGCCCAATAGCTTCTCCTTGTTGGCATGGCTTAACTAATCGTTGCACGCTAGGGTGGTTACCGACCTCTTTTTTTATTGACTCCATCCATGTAGGGATCAGGGCCGACAAAGCAAGTAATTGGCCTACCTCGTCTCTACGTAAAAGTGCATCAGCCACACAATTCTCATTCCCCTTTTTATATTCGATGGTGAAGTCAAACCCCATCAATTTCACCAACCACTTCTCTTGTACTACAGTGGTGATCCTTTGTTCCCATAAATGCTTGAGACTACGCTGATCTGTTCAAACAATGAACTTCATTTCCTATAAATATGGCCTCCACTTTTGCACTGCAAGAATTAGTGCCAACATCTCTTTTTCATAGGTAAATGAAAGTAATTTTTTACCTTGCAAAGCACAGTTGAAAAATGCAATGGGTCTCTTGTTTTGCATGAGAACCCCTCTAATACCAGATCTCGATGCATCACATTCGACTGTAAATGGATGGTTGAAATCTAGAAGGGCCAACGCAAGCACTCGGGTCATTGCTTGTTTTAGTTCTTCGAAGGATTTTTTTGTCAAGGAATTCCATTCAAAACACCCTTTTTTTAACATCTAAGTTAGGGGTCTAGCAATCCTGCCAGTTTTCAATAAACTTCCTGTAATACCCGGTCAATCCAAGGAAACCCCTTAATGCCTTAACCGTTTTTGGCTTAGGCCATTATAGCAACAATTTTTTCAGAGTTCGCCGCAACACCTTTAGTGGTTATTACATGG